GAAAAAGAATCAGAGACAGAGAGAAAGACAGATAAACAAGGGAGATGGAAGTCGAAAAAGAATCAGAGACAGAGAGAAAGACAGATAAACAAGGAACAGAAAGAGAACCAAAACAAAAAACAACCACCATCCGAGAGACAGACGGAACGAGATAACCAACCCCCTCAACCCCCCAGACAGACCTTCGGGCCCCCCCCCACCTCCCCTCGAACCCACCTGCCGCTCCCCTGCCACCTTGCACGCCACCATCAAGCAGGTGAGAGCTCTGAGGGGCGCCTGCTGCTCCACACGCGCCCTCAGCCTCCGAATGCGCTCCTCCTGCTCTGCTCCGGGCGGCGTGGAGGTCCTCACGTGGGCTATTTGGGCGTCCAGGTGGGCGGGGGCGAACCTGGGACGGTGGAGGGATGGATATAGATAGTAGTTCGTATTATATTGTGTTTGTTTTATATTATATGCAAGCAAACATACATAGGCCTACATGCATACATACAAACTCTCTCACACACTCACACACACACAAAATAAAAATAAAACAAAATAGAAATAAACAAATAAATAATATAACAAATAAAATAGATAAATAAAAAATACATGAAAATGAATAATAATAATAAAAAAATAATGAATAACTAACTCAAGACATCCATAGGCCTACATCCCAAACCCACCCCTACCAACACCCATCGCCCACCTGCAGTACATCTCGAGGGCGCGGTGCCTGACGTGCTCCGAGCGAACGTACGCCCGCGCCGCCGACTCGTGGCCGAAGAGCAGGCGGGCGTGGGACTGCAAGCAAGACGGACTGTGGGCGGGACGGACTTCGGCCAGTAAGTGATCGTTCTCTCGCAGCACCTTCCCCAGCCAGGCCGTCACGTGTTCATCTGTTGTTTGTTTATTTGTTTGTTTATTTCAGTTAATTGATTTATTAGGGAGGTCGATTTTATTATTCTTTTCTTATAATTTTTTTGGAAGGGAGGGGGGGAGGGAGTAACGAAATAGATAGATAAGGGAAAGGGAGAAGGTGAGAGAGAAGAACGTGAAGGAAAAGAAGAAGAATGAAAGTGGTGTGGTGACAAGGGTGGGGGAAGGATATGGAGAAAGTGAGGAGGGAGGGAGAGAGAGGGGTGGGGGAAAGTGATGGAGAGAAAGTGAGGGAGGAAGGGAGAGAGAGAGGGTGGGGGAAGGAGATGGAGAAAGTGACGGAGGGAGGGAGAGAGAAGGTGGGGGAAGGAGATGGAGAAAGTGAGGAGAGGAGGGAGAGAGAGGGTGGGGAAGGAGATGGAGAAAGTGACGGAGGGAGGGAGGAAGGTGGTGGGGGAAGGAGATGGAAAAAAGTGACGGAGGGAGGGGAGAGAGGGTGGGGGAAGGAGATGGAGAAGAAGTGACGGGAGGGAGGAGATAGAGGGCAGGGGAAGGAGATGGAGAAAGTGAATGAGGGAGAGAGGAGAGTGAGGGTGGGGAAGAGATGGAGAAAGTGAGGGGGAGGGGGAGGGAGGGAGGGAAGGAGGGAGGAGGAGAGAGTCTATCTGTTTCTCTGGCTGTCTGTTTTACTGTCTGTGAATGCATGTCTCTCCATCTGTCTGTCTGTCTCTCTTTCTATATATGAATTAGCGACAAAGTTGGCCCGATAGCAGGGAGGGGGGGGGGGAGTAATGAAATAGATAGATAAGTGAAAGGAGAAGGTGAGAGAGAAGAACGTGAAGGAAAAGAAGAAGAATGGAAGTGGTGTGGTGACGAGGGTGGGGGAAGGGTATGGAGAAAGTGAGGGAGGGAGGAAAGGAGAACAGGGAAGGAGATGGAGGAGGAAGGAAGAGAAGAGGGGGGGAAGGAGATGGAGAAAGTGAGGGAGGAAGGGAGAGAGAGGTGGGGAAGGAGATGAGAAAGTGACGGAAGGGAGGGAGAGGAGTGAAGGAGATGGAGAAAGTGAGGGTGGGGGAAGAGATGGAGAGAGAGGTGAGGAAGGAGATGGAGAAAGTGAGGGAGGAGAGGGAGAGAGAGGGTGGGAAGGAGATGGAGAAAGTGAGGAGAGGGAGGAGGAGAGAGGGTGGGAGGAGATGGAGAAAGTGAAGGGAGGTGAGAGAGAGGGTGGGGGAAGATGAGAAAGCACGGAGGGAGGGAGAGGGTGGGAGAAGGAGATGGAGAAAGTGACGGAGGGAGGGAGAGAGAGGGTAGGGGAAGGAGATGGAGAAAGTGAGTGAGGGAGGGAGGAGAGTGAGGGGAAGGAGATGGAGAAAGTGGGGAGAGGGAGGGAGGAAGGAGGGGAGAGAGTCTGTCTGTTTCTCTGGCTGTCTGTTTTACTGTCTGTGAATGCATGTCTCTCCATCTGTCTGTCTGTCTCTCTTTCTATATATGAATTAGCGACAAAGTTGGCCCCGATAGCAGGGGAGGGCATGAAAGGTTCCAGGGAAAATGCGGGGTTAAATAACACTATTAGTATAACCCACAGTGAAAATAAGCATGGTTATTCACATAACTTTCCATTGCAGGGGTCTGTGCCCCC